TGCACTCGTGAGTGCATTTTACCAGCCGTGTACCCGTTGCATAGAGCCACGAACCAACTTGCACATACCTACGTTATAATACATACGTGGAACATCGGTGGCCCTTCAGTGGCACGCGTGTTAGCGCATCAGGGTCTTCGAACGCGCCCACAGCTAACGGAAAGGACGGTTCCGTGGGGGCGAAATACGAGATATTTCGCTGTGGGCAGCTACGAAACCCTCGCGATTAGAGTTGGGAATCTATCGGATCGTTTATTATGGTTTATCGCGATCAGTTCGATACTCGTTTCTGTTTCCTTTGATTGGGATGTTTTGGAGAAACGTACGTTTTGGAGTGAATCGGTCGGTGATAGAATATAGGTATGGTAAGAGATTTCCTTGCAAGGAATCTTCATTTCTCTAACATTTTAATATCTTTGGGCGTTGTGATTTTGTTCTATTAAATTCTCCTCGTAATCTGAGAATGTCTGGAAATAATCTACACATCTACAAAATCATGTTTCATATCGATTGATTTCGTTAATAAATTCACGATAACAAAATGAGGATAAAAATCGATCAACCTGGCCCTGTGCGTAACTCATACATAATTCATATACAACAGCACTGCAGCAGTCTACATTGTCGAATATATATTGCGATATTAAGAACGACGAAACAAAGGACGTTCGACGTACCGATAATAGAGATAAAACGGCGTGGTCTGGTCAGATAATTCGAGGATAATTCGCAGCCGACGCCTTGATGGAAATAGGCCTTGCCCGGTTCTTCGATCCCATAACTTCCGCAGGCCTAGGAATTCCAGCGATGCTAATTTCATCGTAGGATGCTGGAATTCCAGGCTCCCTCTGGCCGGACGCGGTTATCATCTGGCGCTATTTCGACCGGGGACATGCACCGTCCAGTTATATTAACCGCATTTCCGGAAACGTTCGATTGGCCGCGTGGTATCGGAGCAATTCGTGCAATAACGACGAGAGTCGTCGCGTCGGCCAGAGATAAATAATATCGCGAACGATAACGCCCCCCCCCCCCCCTCGTTGTAGTTTCGTTCTGTTATTGGACTACCCTTTCACTATGTTGTAATACCGTAATACTGTGTTTTCATAGGGGTTATATTTTGGCTTGGTCTCGAGATTTTTTGGATTGATTTCATGATGTTTGTAGATGATAAGAAAAATATGTTATGAGACTACTGATGAAATAGACTGGAAATGTAATTTAACGAAAGGATACTTTCGGGACTTAATTCGACATTTCTTTCCTTTTTTTAGACTCTTGGATTTGTTTCATTACTTAATTTTCGGTCTTTCTGAAATAATATGTGATAAATAATAGTATAGGGTACACTGAAAGAGAAAGACTTGTATAATTAGTGATAATTATTTATTCCTGATCAATTTTTTGGAAAATATAAATTTTTTTAAATCTTCTACAAGTTTTAACAGTGTCAGAAAATTATTGTAAATTATATTGGAACATATTGTTCCAGTGCACCATGCTTTCTCGTAACGTATTACACGTACTGTTTAGTTTAGATTATTTTCAATTTAGCTGATTATTTCAGTCATACTCTATACTAAATTTATTACAAAAGGAATTCAGTTGCTTTTAAAGATTATTTGAAGATCGTCAAGATTATTTTGAGATTACAGAGGTTTCGTCGAGGTCGTGCAACTAATTGTCAAGGTATTGAAAGGTTACGAAGGACTATCAAGATCGTGTCATTGACATTCAAAGCAATTCGAGGATCATCAAGAGTTATATCTCGAGCTCGTGTTTCCAACAGTTAAAACACTTAAGGATCACTTAGCTCATCGTGGTATCGTTATACATACGATATATGATCCGTTCAAAAAGCCATATTGATTAACTTCATGAATTGGAAAAACAATTTACCTTTCAAATACATACTATTTCTTAAAATTCGCATCTTATTACAAATATATCTGTTACAAATATATTCTCTTGTTACAAATATATCTGTAGCAAGAATTAAGCAATCAATAATTTTATCACTAAAATTCGGTGATATTATTGACGAAACTTAAACATTAAAAGAAAAAAAGAAAAGAATTAGAAATTTCAACTTGTTCTTGAATTCATATTACACGATTACTGAGCAACTAAATAAATATTTCATAAGAGAAGACTTGCAACTATAGCGCACGCTGCCATATTAACAATTTATTGTGTGTATAGTTTCTTCAAATGAATTTTCATATTCTCTTTCTTTTACCTCGTCGCGTGATTTCGAAGCAAACTTAAACTCACGAATATCTTTTAATTTTGACAACTGTACTCTTCGAACACGAGTCGACGAAATTGATCGTAGAGACCAATATCGACTCTAAATTCTTTCGTCGAAGCAAGCAGCTAGTTCGCGGATCTAGTTATTCTCAGAATGATTAAATAATTTGTACGCTGTCTCGCGAGCCAATTGAAAACTGCCTCGTTCCCCGACGAACGATCACGTCGAAGCGCAAATGTAAACGATCACGATCGAGCGGAACAAAAGCACAATGGCGAACGACGTTCACCACGAAGTCATCGTGCGGTCGTGTACGTCGTCGTCGTCGTCGTCGTCGAGTGTAAACCCGATTATGAGGCAACCTATTGCGTTTCCACTCGCATTCTTCTCCAACACACATTCCCTGCGCTTTGGCGCGCCTGTCTGTATCTCGCGGTACCTGTATTCTCGCGCCGTGATATCTTTCCGCTTCAGTCTTCAGTCTAGTGTATCAGGCGCACGTGTGTCCATGGCTGGAAGCCTTTATAGAGCCAGACAAGTCGATTGAATTATAGTAACAGAGTTATCCGTCACTTCGTGCGACGCGGGCTAAGGGCTAAATACTATGTCTCAACGGGATATAAACTGATTTTGCAGCTTATTTTGGCGAAAGGGATCGCGTCTTAAGCAAGATTGATCGAAGTGGAAGAAACGCCCCTTCTACATGTCCTGTGAATATCTCACGAATATCTATTCAGTCGATTAGTATGTTTTCTTTTTTCCGATTTATTTGCTAGAATGTCGAACTAACAGTGGAACTCTGTTTATGTAGACTTTATTCGAATCAAATTTCAGTCAATGACCAGTTAAATGAATTTTTGCTAGTTGGATATTTGAATTGAAACTCCCATTATATTATAACAAGTTTATATAAATTCTACTGTACTTCTTTTATGAATATTTGACGTAGATTGTTCAATTCATTGCATGTACCTTTCCCTCCGATTTTCTTGATTTTAATGGGTCAGAATACGTGACTGTTTAACGAAATATTTAACTCCACGAGTATCTGACGGATTGTTCAATTCACTTCTTCCTCCGATTTTCTTCGTTTCAACTTCGTTACAACATCAGATAACTTTTTATGCAGACTCGCCATTTATTTGAACCAGACGATGCCCAATTAAATAAATTCTTGCTGGTCGAGTCCACTTAGTTGAATTTGAACTCCCGCAATAAATTATTCACCAATTATTTATCCTACAATACGTTTATGTAAATGGAGTTATACGTTCGTTCTTCTTCTATGAATATTTTACGCCAGGTCAAAGAAAAATGAAAATTCACCGCGAAAGAATTAAATTCCAATTTTCTTCTTCCATAATCATTTGAACTATTATTTTGGAGGGTGATGCGAAGGTATGATTATTCGGCGGTAAATGGGGATATTATTCAACGTGTGTTCACGTTGTAAACTATAGCGACGAATAACTGGCTGTAGGGCTAAAATTGGGTGGGCGATTCGAATGATCGAGTGTCATTGCTGGTTGCAGTTAATTCGGGGCGTGTTAAACAAAAGGTTTAGCCGTTTTGACGACGGTCGTTTGCATTAAGTGGCTTTATCCTGGCGCACGCGCGCCTGCACCCTCAATCTGCATTTGACTTTGTAATTTCATTTATGTCGAATCGCGTATTCCGGCTGGCTACGGGCGATGCGCGCAAACATTTGCAGCCGGCGTTGCGTTTCGCATCTCCGAGGACCTTCTTTGATTAGCCCAACTTCCAATTGAAATTACCGTTACCCTCTGATAAGGATAGTATCCGGTTCAGCTCAGTGAGCAACAGTGATTTTTTTCGGACGTTGCGGTTTGTTGCATTTTGTGAAATTGTTGCACGATCAAGGACCAACAAATTAGTAGATCAAAGTTCAGTGTTCGAATTTTATACGTACAATTTCATATCGCGTGTACAAAAATTGGTATTTCGTAGAATGAGATAAATAAATGAAGTAGTATTTCAAAAATAAGAAAAAAATGATTCAAGAGGAAAAAGAAGGCGTTTGTGTATCTGATCGCAAGTGATCACGTATCTGTACGTGAAATAACGCGCGATGAACTAATGAAAATAATTGAGCTGATTAAACGTGAAACAATTGAAAGATCGGTAACTTGACATTTGTTTGTGTCGATATAATAATTTTCAGCTTTCAAGAAACCCAGTGTAAAGCGAAAAATTTGCAAGAAAGAAACGAATGAAATTAAGAAAAAGAAAAAGTAAAGTTAATTTGTCTAAATAATTTTCCGGTAAATAATTATTATGGTTTAATCTTCACTTCACTGCACATTAAATTTTCTTGTGATTTAATTTATTAACTTGTATAAAGAATAACAAAAATTATTTTGGTGTTTTACTGTATGGATTATTATTATTAGAATTGTATGAAAATATTTATATTTTGGTTAGTTTCTGCATTTTATCATATTATATAATTACATCCTATGCGATTTTGTGCTATAAATATTTTATTATGTGTAGGTCATGATTAGACATTAATGAATATTATTTTGCTAATGACATAATATTCACACTTTTTTTCTAAATTTTTGCTCAAATGAAAAATTTTACCATCTGTATGAAATTTAATTAACTACTGCATCTACTATTCTTTTGCAAATAAGACGATTTCTCGATAAAAATTCTTTCGTTTTATTCGCGAGAATTTTGATCAAGTTATTAATAATTTCAACGAAAATAAAAGCAGATGATCGTCGTTTTTACTTTATGCTTTATTAATTTCTTATGTTTACGATTTGTATAACACTGAATTAGTTAATTTCACATACCGCGGAGTTTCCAACATTTGTTGTATTTGATAGAGAATCTTGACCATTTATATAAGTTTTTGATCTTTTATATGAGTTTTTGAATGGTAAATTCCAATTGCCGTAGACCACACTCGACAAAGTTTTCGGCAACCATGCATTTATCGTCGTTCGCAACTAAAGAAAAGAGAATAGAAGAGACACGATCTTAAATAAAATAAATAATGGATAATAATAAAGAAGATAGAAAAGTGTGACAGATGATATATTATTCTGACGTTCTATTATGATCTGTACCATTTTCGACACATTGATGCATATTTTGACGTATGATGTCCTTCTTATCGGCGCCAAGGAACACCTTGATGTACTCGTCGATGTACTCGTCGATTTTCTCCATGTTAATAACATTGTCGTTCATCTAAAATACATGCAGCATTTTGAACATTGTTAATAAATAAAATGTATCAGATAGATCGAACGATATCGAAGTAAAACATCCTGGAGGAAATCAAAAGTTCATTTTAATTCTCTGGAACGTAGTTCTTCGAAACTCAAATTTCATTATTACGTCTTTTGCGAAATTATTTTACACAATTTTTAAAATACAATTGTTCGTTCTGTTTTATTTTCGTACGATCGCGATAAAACAGAACAATAAATGTTTGATAAAAGTGGTAAAGTAATAAAGTAGTAGTAGTAAAGATCGATATTATATAAATTAATATTATGCATCAGTTATTGTTTCCAATCGCATATTAATTTTCTGTTTATTGTTTGAGTATGTATTAAATTTCACTCGCTCCACAAATTCTCCAGGCTTGACTTTATTAAGTAGAATAAGACTGTACGTACCAGACCCATCTTCTGCATTATGCAAGCATCTAGGCATCCGCGTTTCATGTTGTCGTTAATAAAACTTGGGAAATCAGCTAATAAAGTAACGTTTTAATTATTATTTACTTCGTAATAGTTTCATAATCGTTCGGTTTAATAATCGTCTTTATTAATTTTTTTCTTTATAAAACTTATATTTAGATTATATTTGTACCTTTATAGCAAGAAAAATATAAAAGATAGTCAGTTCGTTGATTTCTATTTATTGATAAAATCATGAGCTTTTATAAATGACGATTATTAAATATATTAAATACGTCGTCACGCATTTATCAAACTTCAAAAATTCAAAACGGAGAAATAAGTATTTGCATTCACTATTAATGAATATTTATACTTACTAGGATTAAGATCCAATTCTTGTAAGCAGGAGGATAACATCTGCGCACTAACCTAACAATTATAAATTGAAAATGCTAATTTCTTTAATGCAGTTAAGAAAAATGATGAATTCCATAGAATTTAGTTTCTCTATAAATCTTAATGAACTATTTTATAGTGTTCCATAAATCTTCGATCAATATTTTATATTATTTTCATATTATTATTTATCGTTTAATAAATAATCAATCTACGCGGTTTTTACAATAACTGTCTAAAAACTAATTTTCTTTATCCTTAAGATCTTTTCCGATTTAACGTCACACCTAGTTTGCTTTTATTATGCTTTTCACATCTTTGATCTTGATTTATCGAAGAAGAAAAAGGTATTTAGTCACAAAAATTTGTAATCGATTAAAAAACATACTTCGCAACAAACAAAGTGTAACATGCAGAAAAAAGCGAAAACGGTCTTTGTGCTTGCGCTTTTTGGCATACTGTTGTCCAAAGTGTTCGCAGAAATACGAATATATACAAGAGAAACCTCAAAAAGCGAGCAACTTCCCCGACTGGTTACTCATCGTTTCAAGCTGCTATTTATACTGAATCAGTGGACAAGGAGATTAGATCCGTTGATAATGGACTTATGTAATTTTGTTTTTCGAAAATATTGTGATTTACACTTGGAATATGCATCCTAGAATAATTTTTCAGAACAGAGTGATGAAAGTGATTAATCATAGTAATTTTTCATAGGGATCTCATTGAGATTCGATAATGATGCATTTTTTGTGATTCTTAATAATTTCTTTTGTAATGTATAAACGAAAGCCCGTGCTTGTTTATTGTATTATAAATTTTTCCTATTTTTATTCGTTTTTCTGAGACAATTGATGAATATATTTTAGATATTTCTTATATCATACATTTTATTTTTTATTATTTCCGATTTATATTTTAATAGGATATTAAGGTATCATTAGGATGCTTCAGATTGCAACGATTCACGCTGTTCAAAGGATCAATAAGCTTTGATCGATCATGTTTGCAATTACTCGAATTTGTTTTATGAAAATGTTTATCTGAAATAATTATTTCGACAACCTCATTTAATCCATTAAAGTAAATCATATTTCCTCAATTAATTACATTATCTGTCGCTATTTTGTATAGGAATGAGAATCTTTGCACAAGAATCTTTTTGTTTCGTCGTAAGAACTTTAGATAAGAAGTTTTATAAAATCGATTTTGTTAAGAGTGATTCTTTTCAAGTCAGAAAACCATTCGAATGCTTCTTACTTTATTGACAAACTTGTACAATTAATTCAACTTGTTGACAAAATCGAGAATGTTTCCAACGTTTGTGGACGAATTGAAAGAGCGTTAAGCTATAGTCACTTTTTCTAATACTTTTCTAAGATCCATGTGATCCAGATGCTCTTTGCTGCAGTCAATGAACTGGCGGGCAGCTACGCATTCGTCATCATTTTCAGCTAAAAAAAAAAAGAAAGAAAAAAATATAGAAGAGAAAATAATTAGGAATGTATTATTATAGTTTGTATAATATAATTCTCACCTTGAGAGATGCAGTGGTTTATATGTTGAAGCATAGTTTCTTTCTCATCATCATTATCGAAAAATTTAGCGATATAATTTTCGATCACTGATATTTTGAACGTGTTACCAACCATCTAAAGTAAATACGACACGTATTATTCATTTTACTTTTAGTACTGTGTAATAATCATTCTATATTTAAAGCTCCTCTGAAGCTTCGATTAATAATTTTAAGTATTCCTTCAACCAATAATTATTTCAAATTTTAATTAAATACTATCCTATATTTTATCTTCTGAATGTTTGATTAATAACTAAATTCTAAATTTTAACCATTCGTTCTTTTCAAATTTCGACCAATCATTTTCCAACCGTTTTCAAAAGACAAAGTAGAAGAACTTTATCTGGTCAGAAGCTTTTGTGTCGCAACGTTATTAATAATCAACTGATATTAATAATTTTTTTGGTTGAAGTCAGATTGTTTGAGAACATCGAAAGCAGATACTGTGAGTAACGTACCGCGTCCTTTTTCTGTAGGACACATGCTAGAAGACATCCATATTGCTGCTTTCCTTCGGCAGTCTCGTCATTCATCAAAGATAAGACATTCTCTAACGATACAATTATTATTTATCAATTTTTGCCGTTATTTGTCTGGCGATGCTCTCATGCATCTGGATAAAATTAATTTAGACATCTACGAGTTCTCACTTACCAAGCTTCAGGTCCATTTCTTGGATACACGTGATTATATCGCCAAATTTATCGGCACGACTCAGCTGTACACCACATAATAAACGAAGAAAAATGAATTCTTCAAAGGTTACAAAATGCAGTTTATTCTAAATGTTACTAAAGTTCACGAATTTTACAGATTCTCGTATAAAGTTACAGACGTTCCTATTTCTTTTTTTTTTTTTTTTTTTTTAAGATTTACTCTACTCTACAGAGTCATATATCGCAGTCAATCGTATAAAATGCAATTGAGTCAATGTTTCAACAAAAGAAGACAAAAGAAGAAAAAGTGATATCATGGAAATCGAAATAGGAAAGACAGTGGAGATATTCAGTCACGGAAACTTTAAATAAAGTCAGACAAAGACATACCGTGCAAGCGAAGTATAACGTGCAGAGAAATATGACGGCGATCCTCATGCTTTCGGTGTTCTCTTCGACGAGACGGAGAAAGATTAAAATCGACGTTTGAAACGCAGCTTCCTTCCTCAACTAGCTGGACAACGTTTCGTACTTCTATTTATGTCTAGCGTGTCTACTGGAAATTAAAATCTAATCGTTGGGGAGATGACGCATTTATGTAATAAAAATTACATGATTGCAACAGAGTAAATTATTCATGATTGGATTCTTAAAATCGATATTATTAGACAAGTTGCTAAGACGTTGAGGAACCGACGAGTTTCATGTTTCTTTGAAAAGTTGGCGTGTAATTGTTTGAAAAATTGAAGAGTTTTTTTATCAACGATAATTATTATACACATGTATATAGTATAATAATATAATATAATATATATAGTAAAATGTGATTAGAACATTTAGATTAGGTTATCAACATTTGATATATAGTTCCCTGGCCAGACAGAGTAATGATAATTCGATCATCTTTGCGTCCTTTCTTTTCATTTTCTGTCTTTTCCCAGAAATATTACTGCCAGTAGGTTTCTTTAAATAATTGCTTTGATGAAATTGTCAAGTATGATATTTTTGGAGTTTTTGTTATTAATTTTACTTATATTGATACTTTATATTGATTCAACGGTGAAGATCGATGGCAGAAAAATCTGAATCACAGACAAAGCAAACGTGACTTTGACTCGTGACTTTAGAACTAGACTTTGTTGCGCGAAATTATTCATCACGTTCCTTCTCGTAAACGAATCGTTGCCTACTCTTGTCGAAGTAACTTGTCGAAGCTAATGCAATTAATAACTCGATCCGATCAATCCAATCAATTTCGTTGAATTTGCGAATGAGTCCCACGATACTCGTGTGACGTTGCCAATTGTCTCGCACGATCGTTACATCAACGAGCTTACATAAGGAACTATAACTGCAGCGATTTCGTTCGTATGATGCACGTTTATCTTGGATAAAATGAAGGAAAACATTATTTCGATTCCAGGAAAAATTCATTGTGTCGCAATGTGTCAAGCGATATGAGCATGATTCGCGCGCTTGTATTTGAGGCGGATTAACGGTGAAGTCAGGGTGTCCATAAAGTCTCTTTACAATTTCAAAAATTTATTACGAAGACAAATGAGAAGACAGATAAGTTGAAATTATTACAAAATAAGACGTATATATTTAAGTCTTTTCCTGCCTCATTTAATACACCTCTATATGGAAACTATTAGTTATACGAAGCACATCAAGATGGTACTCGATTTCTTACACGATAGATGTGTTCCTCGTCCACTCTTCCCTTTATCAAACACTGTCTCCATAAATTTTTTGTGCCATGCACGAATTGAAGGACGTGACGGTGGATTTCTTCCATACCCAATTCTGAAGTTTCGCTGAGTCTGCAGATCCGATTTGGTTTCAATAAACCATAATACACACTGTGCTTTCTCTTGAGGAGTAACCATTTGGTAAGGGTAACCATTTAACAGTATCTTATTCATCAACAGGCTACTTGAAATGCAATGTGATGAAAGTCTTGATAACCACTGAGTACATAGAACAAATCTGATGAAGATATCTCGTCAATTGCCTTTGTAATAAATTTTTGAAATTGTAAAGAGACTTTATGGACACCCTGTATTATAATATTAGATACATGATCGGAGATCGCGAGGAGTGGACTATATATTTTATGTTAGATTCACGTGGATCGGGTGTCTAATTCTTGGTGACTGTTTCACCATTAATAGTAATAATAGCAGATTAGCAGTGGTAGCAGATATGACGATATAGTAGAAAGACTGACCCCGAATTGATGTATGACAACGCATTGATACGCATTCAGTGCATTTATACACTGTCACACTATTGTCTTGAATTTAATGTCGCACTCTTGAATGTATCATCGCAATAACTGTCTTGAATTTAATGTTGCACTATGTCCTCCCTGCTGACGGCAGGCTTATTTTATAGAAAAGTGATGGCGAGTGTGGGCCAATCACCGTTTAAACCGTCAGCCCGGACATAATTCCTCTAAAAACGGTAAAATTATTAAACATCGATAGGAAACTTGATGCTAACCATTTTTAGAGCACATCAACGGCCGGGGAAGACAACAATAAACCATCGCGTCCGAACAGCTGCGATAGACGTTAGAACTTTTTCCCAGCACAAAAAAAAAAAAAAAACAGGCGAACTATTGTCCTTATCTAAAAATAGAATATTAAATTATTTTATGCGGACAAGAAACGTCTTTCATACACATAATTTTAATGGGAAATCGCCCTAACACATCGTTTCGAAGCTTCGTTTTATTTCAAATTCGTTACATCGACGTATCAAACTCTAACACGATGCAAGAAATTTTTAAGTAGTTTCAGCTGAGTATGCGGAGCCGTGGTCGATTAAGTGGATTAGACACTTGTAGAACTCGAGTCCCACGAAACATTCGTCTGTTATATCCTTCACTGGAACAATAGAGAATTTATTTGAAAACAGAGGGATATTAAAGGAAATGAAGGAATATCTGACGAGCGAGAAAATATTTGAAATGAAAGTAAAGAAGCATTTGAAATAAGAGAACTTTGAATACTTGTCAGACAAACATATTTAAAAAGTCAAGTTCTTTTACTACGTCGAAGAGGGAAAGGATGTTAAAAAATATAGTAACTCGTATACCTCTATTCATACATTCCCTTGCAATTCTTTTGTAGTAATTCTCCGTCTTTAGTGGCATTTTCTTTTTTTCGATTATATCTTCCATCTTGTCTATCTGGATTTTTGAACCGGACACCTGAAAAACAGGAGGAGAAGATATTAGAAACAACAAGAGAAAGAAATATTAGGTAATAGTGATTAGGTTTACTCGTGTATTTAAAGAAGAATATTAAAATAGTTTATTACTAAAACATTACTAAAAATATATAGTTATATAGTAGAACTACATTACTAAAAATGCATAGTTTGTTATTTCTTCGATCGAGAACTTATAAACTCTTTGATGAAATTATTTTAATCATTGTGACTCGTTTACAAATCTACCATTTTCCCTTAAAATCCATTTTTTAAATATTAATTTATTTTTGTTATATATGCTAATTATTAATTTACCAAATATGTTTAATTCTACCTGATTTTAATAAAATAATTTCACTCACCACTCCTCGTTTTTTCGCACAATAAGTGAAAGCGCAAGCGCCTTTTCTAATGGTGTCCATGTCTTTATTATTAACAAACGTACTGTATAGTTGCTCTAGCACTTTGGATACTTTTACAAGATCATCTAAAAGCAGACAGAAAATCTCTGTATTAAACCTTTGAACTCGATTTGTTTTCTATGTTGTTGCGCGTCCACTGGCAAATCATCAATTATATCTTTTTTTATTTATTAGTACTACATAATTTATTTTTTGTAATTTTTTGAAGCGTGATAATGTTCATAATAATTTCCAAACTTTTGTGTGACGTACGAGTAAGGGTTAAATCTCATTGGTTTTTCTTAGTTATTTAGCAACTATACGTTCCTTACCAACTGTTACATTCGCATCGCGCAAGCACATTTCGGCTGTTTCATAATCGGTCGCCAAAAGCTCGGCTGTATATATTATTGCTTTTTCCACGTCGCTTAATTCAGCAGATGCCTGGAATTAAACGAGAGAACAGTTCGTTTAAATATTTGAACATTTCGACATACACTTGTAATTCTTAGTTCTAGAAATTTTGGCATTTGAATTATAGAATGTATCGAATTGAAAATTTTATTAGACAACAACGTAATTGATCTACTGTCACTGTGGATTTTTACGCGTTTTTTTTTTTTTTTTTTGAGAATATTTCTGAGAATATAATTGCGAAAAAAAACTAGAACGTTACTTAAAAATTAGTCAAATTTAGTTAAAATTAGTCGTTAGTTAAAATTAACGTTACTTAAAAATTAGTCAAAAATTAGTTAAATGTTGTAGAAAGTATATACTATGGATATTTTTGAATATTTTCACGTTACATGCGTTCTCCGCAATTTTTCAATTTAAAGTTTCCTATAAATACAGAAAAATCCACAATTTATTTATCACCACAGCAGTCGGTTCAGCTTTCGTTAGCGATTAATAAAATATGGTTTTTGTTATAATTGTAGAAAAATTATATTGAAATTACGCAGAATACGTATGTTCGTTTCATATGTTAGATTGCGAGATTTTTTTAGATATATAATAGAATTAATAAAATTTAACATAATACAATTATCATATAATATTTAATATTATATAATTGTATATACTAATTAACGTTCGTCAGCAAAATGTAAAATGCGTAGCAGTTGTAAAAGGTTATCAATGCTTGATATTTCATGTAATTTTATGATCAAAGTGATTTTTATGATCATTGGTTTTTAAATGATTGACATTTTATGATCATTAGCTTTTAAATGATTGAAATAACAACGGGATTGTAAAATTTTTTTTGGATTCACAAGAGAATCTAATAAAATTCGGCAACAAATTACTTATGTAGTAATAAATGTTGTCAAAGAGTAAATAACAAAATAATGATAAAATTAAACTCTTCCTTCATGGATTTCTTATTCAATTATTTTACAAATTTTGCAATTTAATTCAATTACAACAATAAAAAATGTTGCTTCTTTATGAACACACAAAATTGACAACGAGCTATCATTCTCTACAATTTCGTTCTTTACAATATCATTTGATTCGATGGATTTGAACGACTTCAGTGAACCGTGCGCGTAATTTCATTCAAAATTATGATATTCTTGATTTTCTTATCTTTTTCTTCTCTACTTTTACTCACCAACGCCACAAAGGCGAACAGTATCAGCAGCAAATGTTTCATGGCTTCGAGTCTCACAGATCTGTCAACGAAACTTAAAATATGTAAATTGAATCTGTCTTTTCGAGAGAACGTACGAATTTACTGGTATCAGTCGTTGGTTCCCTTTCATTTATATCGATTCGAATCGCTACTAGAGATTAAAGGTCGGGTTATATGCTGACATTTATGTGAAACGTTTACATAAGACGGCTATGTAACAATAAATAATTATTGACAATAATTATTGGAAATCCATTGACGTTTGTTTTGCCTGAAACTTCATTCACACTGGTATCTATCATCGTTGTTTATTTTTATATTGTGAGTTCAGTTTCCCTCGAATCGTCTACATTTTTACGCATTTTGAGTAACACGTTGATTCTAAACACGTTTGAATGATGCTGAGGAATAGAGATAAACGAAAGCAGATGTCAATTTTTCTAATATTCACTCCGCGTGAATTTTATTCTGAAATGATCGTTCTCTAATAACGCCATTTGCCGCAATTTGTATCTACAATTATCTTAGAAAGCAACTACTTTTCTACTTTTCAATCATTAAGGATTGAAATAACGACTGTTCGATCGCGTTTGCAAAATAATAATTGCTTTGTTGCGTTTACTTTATTTTCTTGACGTTTAAAATAGAAGTAACATGCTGAAGCAACGTTTCGTCAATTTTTCTTCACCGTTAGATAATGTTGCATTGCGATAAAGTTTGCAAGCAGTAACTTTTTATCGTTCATTTAATATCAAGCGATAATAAAACGTTGAATTAATGTTTGTTTAACTTTATTGATATCTAAAACGTAAATTTTGTTCTATAATTGTTGTATTGATAGCACAAACGCGATTTCCTTTCAAAGATTATCAAATTATTTATTATTTAATTATAAAGTATTATCAATTCTAAAAAAAGTGAAACGTAAATATATTTACGTTCTCTGAATGTAATTTCTTTTCAAGGATTATTTAATTATTTGTGTGACTCCCTATTTTGTCTTTATTATACTTTGTATCACTGATTTATGAAGCAAAATGCAAAGACATATCCACGCTTGCATTGATCGTCCTGTTCTGTCGCTGGAACAATTAAAAAAATGAAAATATCTTATTTATAAATATCTAAAAATATGAATCCTCTTGCTTATTAATGATTTAATGACTAATGATGTGAATATGGATTTTATACTTTCCAAACAACCCAGTATAAGATAGACTTATCTCAAATTTTATAATCGTGTCTCATTCCAGTCTTAATGAAATTTCAAAAATTTTGTATACGTGTCATTTTTCTAGTACAATATATACTATCATTATACTCACCCAACTCGAAGCACTCGTTTAATTTTTGTTTCGTAATTTCATCCACGGGGAAATCGTTCCGCTCCGCTGTTTCTATTAAAATGTCCAGCAGAATGTCATTGTTTTCCATCTGCAAAGAATAAAATTCTTTTTCTCTTTTTCTTCGAAAATCGACGAATAAAAAATTGAAGAATGAAAATGAGTGCTTACAAGGTGAGCTTTGTCCAGAATGCACACAATGAAGCAACCGAGGTTCAACTGAAACTCGTCGAGGCTTTCTACCGATACGTTCACATTACGAAAAGCAGTGTCCAACTTCATCATGTCCTCTGTAATCGTTTTAGAGTAGAAATGAATGAAAAAAACGAAACTACGAAATTTTTAAATTTTCTCAATGAATTTGCGTTGTCTAAATTGTCTAGGTAGTTATTATTATTTTAGATTTACGTACTATCGGTTAAGTTGCTCTGGTATACGCATTGTCGTACGTCCTTTATATTAATGTCTATCATTCTTGCGAATCCTATTATAGTGCTTGCGCGAACAGCCTGTAATAAATTATTTCATTCTTAGGAATGGATTATTTTTTTAACAGTCGGTCGACTATGGAAAAGTATCGACTGTTGTAATGATTACAAATTATTTTTTTCACTTTAAAGTTGCATGATAGAACATTTGTGATATTGATACTCGATGTTTGTATATTATTTTCTTTTATCGTTTCTTCCTCGGATTTTTTTACACAAAAAAAATCTTTTCCTTTGTCTCTTTGAAAGAATGTCACTCTCAGTACAAAAAGCTGTGATATTTCTGAAAATTCCGAATTTTCAAAAATTCGCACGTGTAAAAATTTTAAATTGGAGTCGTATGATTCATTCAGAAGAACGTGTATATATAAGGAAGAAAGTAATATATTTAATTTACTTACGCTAGCAGAAAGCATGCAAATAAAGATCACGAGATACCACTTCATTCTTCAAAGTCACTGTTGCAAAAAGTCAACGAGAAATTCGGTGGCAGTCTCTCTGAAAGAACGAGCAAACTGTGCGTTAAGCGATTGCGAGGTACTTGTGCTTATACTTACCGTCGACCATGAAAACGGCACCTCAGTTGACAAACATGTTACATTTTAACCAAAATTGTTTAACGCGTACATATTAAAAGTGAATCAGTCAGCGAAAATGAAACAACAACGTGACATACGACAATCGCCGGGCACGACGGTTTTAGAACAACATGATTCTGTTTAAATGACTTCAACAGGATGTTGATAAGAGAACATTTTCTTTACTAGACGACAAAGAGAAAAATAAGAGAAATAAAAAAGAACAGACACGTAGGAAAAGATAATTTTTGATAATTCTGCTTTGAATAATGTCTTGAATAATAATCTTCAAGGTAAATATTTTAATTTCGAAAGGAAGAGTGTCGTTAAGTTACCCTGCAATTTGTGAAAATTTGTCGTTACTTATCCATTGTTTAAATAATAACGACACACCGCGATAAAATCAGAGTCAAACTCTGAATTTATTCTTTGACGACTCTTTTAATTGTTTTAAAGTTCTACCCCTTTTCTATATGAAAAATTGCAACGATCACTAGATTGAAAAAATGATGCAACATTAAAAATCGAGACGACTGACATATAAATTCCATAATCGGTAATTAACAAAACTATCATTTACGATGATCATTCAAAAGACACTGAGACGCTAATATTCGCGCTACAAAACTTTTTAAATTTTTTTCATAATCGTCGTAAACAATTTTTAGTTTCGATGAAAGTGAACAGATTCGAACATTCGATGAGCTTCGATATTTTCTGGAATCGTGATAGTTGGACCTGCCGTGAGAGCGGTCCATGCAGTTTCATTAATAAGAATGAGATTAAGCGGAGCCAGCGATTCGTCACTCACGCAGAGACCGCGACAATCCGCTTATGAATAAACAATGTAGCGTTAACGCGTTATGAATAATTAACCTGCACTCGAGGCACGAACGCTTTGTGCATTTCAAACGTGGAGCAAGCTGATGCTTTACGGCCACCCGGTAGACGCACGCGAGCCTGTATACATGATTCACGTTGAGAACTGATGCAAAGTGATCGTGCATGGAAATTCTCCATCTCGAAAGCGACGGGAGACGAATATATTTGCTTTTCATCTTCTTCCTTTCTTCCTTTCTTTTTTTCTCTTTGGTTCTTTTAGGCACTGTATCGAAAAAATTAAAAAAGTGCAGATATATAAGTGTTTGCGATTTACGTGGGAATTACGCCAATTTTGTTCTTTTCTTTCCTTTTCTCTTCTTCTTTTTTTTTTTTTTTCTTTATCAGGCAATGTTACAGTTTCACGTAACGTTTATTTCAACTGAATAAATATGTACAATATTTGCACGAATAATGAATGGTATATAAATGTTTTTTGTGGTTAGATAGATTTTCTTTTTATTAGTTGACAATCGAACTTTATAGTCAGATAATTAATATTTATGTAGATAATAATACGTAGAATGACGTGTAAAATTTTTTCGGCCGGATAGGTTCTTTTTTATTTTATATTTTAAAGAATTTTGAAATTGGCTCACGAAAATATTGCATACAAATGCCCATAAATAATGCCCATAAATAATTATTTCTCCAATTGCGCTTCTTCCTTTTTAAAATGTTGCACTTCAAGAAAACAAGAATATGAACAACGAAGGTTCGAAAAGGAAGAAATTGAAATAGGCAAAATTTTCAAATTATTTTTCTCTATCATCTCACAAAGCGCAAGTCGTCAATTTCGAGGCATCATTTTGTCGAACTTAGCGATTTTAAATATCAAAACTTTGTTTCACACCCTTTTCTCATCGCCGCTCTTCATAATCCACAAAAATTGTCTATTCTTCGATTCACAGCAGGTTGCGTAGTCAAAGACGTGCAAGGACCGCGTTAGCGTAAGCGGCTCACGTTGTGAGGCGGTATAATGTAGCCCGTAATGGTCCGAAGTTGTCTGGCATAGCATACAGGATGGAATAAAGTTACGACGACCTTACGCGACAGCGAAGACAACGGCGCGGGGACACTTTTGCAAATGGTTGGCTTTGTAAACGATTACACGCGCCGGATATCTTTTCGAAGTTGGATCGCGGAACTTTAGATCGGATATGTATATTTTTCCCTCGAATCGCGATCTTTCTCGTTCTCTGTGGTCGTCGATCTATCGGATAGACAGTCGATGAAACGAACCAATCATTGATTATTCAGATAGGAAAGAGCAAACTCAGAAAATTGGATCATGAATGATTCAATTTTTTGAATGTTTTACTATTTAATGGTTCACTTGGATAGCTTACTAGAATATATATTGAAAAAAATGTGTCAAAAGATGAGTGCATTCGGCATTAAACTTTTAGACTTAACTTTAGACCTTTGGTAATTTTAATGAACGTGCAATTTCTTCATGTTCTGTACGACAAACAATGTAGAAAACCATGCATGATGAGAAATGCAGAGAAACATGTTTTGCAGAGTTTTTTTTTTTTTTTAATAATTGCACGTGTGTGATAAATTTCAAATTCAGGATAGACGAGCCAACGTTGCAGTCCGGATTATAATCCTGTTTCTTGTTTAAATTTTTCCCATCAACTCCCCTTAAACAGCACGTTGTTTAATAATTTTCTTTACTATTGAGAAACTGTATGTCATTTTGAAAGTACTAAGTAAATCTGTCTCATTCGGAATAAAATTACATGCAATGACTTGTTAAATTGTTGAAAATATCAATTGAGAGAATGTTCCAACTTGTGATATTCTAACAAGTCGTAGGTTAAAAACCATATTTATTATTAAGAAACGAAATAACCCTATTCTCTGCAGGGACCAACATTATTAATATATACTAGAATAACTTAAAAAGATAAAATCATGGAAAAGAAATCTAATATAAAAATTTGCTTTCAGGTACGTAGAAAAAGAAGTAATATCGAATCAAATCTGATCCAGTTACCGCGCATGTGAGTATAAAATTACCTGCTACTGAAGAATTAATCAGTATATTAACACGTTGAGTGTCACACAAAAAATTTATTTAATATTCTGCCTGTGGGACAAAATGTTTAATTCTTAAAAAAAAATTAAGTTAAGAATGAAATCCATTTATTTAGCCTTATTTCAATTATCAACATCTGAAACAAAGAATATGAACGTTGATAATTAGTGATCACTGTGGCAGTCAACGTGTTAAATCTTGTATCGTATACTTTTTGTTTGAAATAATTATTTGGTGGAAATGGAACAACAATTTGATCCCGTGGGAATCTTACGAAAATAAAATGCAGAGCCTGAAATAATACTGCATATAAAAATTGTAAGACATTCGTTAGGATGGTGTTTCGATCATCGAGACAGTTTTTGTCATGGAACGATTGTTTATTATTCAACTGCATCACTAGTAATAAAAAGAATTAACACGCGTGCATCGATGGCTCGGTGAATACTTATGAAGTTAACAACGAAAGCGTGCACGAGCCGTATCTGTTACATCATTTCATCAATCAAAGTGTAATATCATTATAATGATTACAACTCAGCGGTCTTCGACGAACGGTTTTTGGTCGTCTGCCTTGTTAGGTGAACATCTTCTGTACGTAACAGTCTGTATATTTGTTACCGATGTTGCACTCGTCCGTTTCTCCTTTGACTGTAACAAAGAAAATAGCTTGTCAATGCAAGTATCGATGAGATTTCATCCAGAGTATTTCTTTTGTTTTTTTTTTTTTAATATATATTTCAAGATGGCTTTTCAATTGCAAACACGAAACTGAATCTAAAATTGAAGCTATTCCAGTTACGAGAGGCATTAATTTGCTTATTCATGTTGTTTACGAGTCTCGAGAAACAGAATATTACTCTTGACAACGTTATTATTGTTATTACAGAGCTTCGTTTCTAAATAATCAAAAGATTGAGTTAAAAAGTGGAAGTTAAGATTAAAAACAAAGCTCGCGTGAACGGGTACTCGAATCTTTTTCTATTTTTCAATTATTATATAATTTTGAAAAAAATGGCCACAGTGAATAATGTGATCAGTTCAAAAATCAAAATATGAAGGGACGATAGACGTATCTCACTAATGAGAAAATTAATCTTCTCTAAATAATAAAATTTCTATACGTATCTCTTTTTTTAAAGAAGCAAGCAAGAATAAAAATAATTTTCTTTTGTCCCCAGTGACATTAATGAAGAAGTAGTTTAAAGAGGCTGCCACTATTAGTTTCTCAATTTCTAACAGATACTTAGGAGAATTTCGATGTTATTAATTATAAAACAAATAAAATTCAAAGTCAATGCTTACGGTTATCACCGCATTCGACCGCGATTCCTTTCACTAATTTAATATCCTCATCGTTGCCAGCGTGAATCACTTCGATCATCTTGTATATCGGTTCCACATTGAAGGTGGTGCCTTGCAACTAGAATTTTAGAGGAAAAAAAAAAAATTGGAAGTTAAATTCTTCGAACGATTAAGAAAATGTCTGATTGATTGTTCGATTAGGAATACACGTACCACGTTCATTCGTTTCATTACGCATGCTTTCAGGCAACCCATTTGTCTCATATCAGCTGCTGCTGCTGCTTGTTGTATGTTCGAGGCAGTCTCTGCAATGTTTAACAATTATTAATTATTCGTTGCATAATTTTTGAAATCGTTAAATTTAGATTTCATCGATTTTTTTACAATAAGAAACTTTTTTTATATCAAGAAAGAAACCTTTTTGAATTTGTCGCATTTTTAGAACATATTTCGTTGAATTTTAGAATGTTAGAATCGTAACCACAAGAAAATAATAAAATGTTACAATATTATCAGTATATTATGTATTAAAATTTTTGAAAATTATTTAGAACGATAATATTAGAACTTGCCACGACTATGATGTAGAAATGAAAATGCAAAATTTTAAGAAAAGTTTCTAGTAGAATGAAGAAAACATAACAGACTAACATGATAAGAGAATGGGAAAAAGTTTCTAATATAATATAATAAAGACGAAAAATTACAGATTGGTGATTTTGACTATTCTGAAAGTTCTATTTGGTGTTAATATAGAAATAGTTTTCACCTTCTGCGATGTTAAATTGATCAGCGCATGGTTTGATATCTGGCATCAAGTATTCCATGTATTTTCCTATTACAGCGTCCTGGTCCATACCACGCACAACAGTCTGCAAATAAATTCGTCATTTTGTGTACTAGAGTCTTTGAAAAAAAGAAACCTTAAGACGAGATAGTTTCAATGTTTAAGCTATATTTATTCGAAGGAAAAAGTGCTTGATATCCCTGATTTCCGAGAAATTCAATTTCAAAAAATTTTTTTCAAATTTCTAAAAAAAGTCGCAGTATCTTGAAATGCGAACTTCAACTGGTGTTTCTGATATTGCCTGGCCTATTAATTTTTAGCCCCTTGCGCTGGCAATTGGTTCGCGGACCATAACGAGTGACCGAACCGTATACAATAATTCGCTTCCTTTTTCTTTTGAACTCGTCGATACGATCACTGGATGGAAATTATTAAGAACATAATAAACTTATCATTTGCTTTGCCTGGATTATATTTAAATCTACTTAAAACTGAGAAGATGTTGCAATTTGGAACAAAACATTCGTGCATGACACGTCATTCCAGCGCAAGAGGTTAAACGATCAATTCAGTTCCTCAAAAAATTAGATTCTGGGTTTAATGACCAAAAGTTGTAAAAAAAACTGCGAAATGTCCGAAATATATATGTCCAATATTTACCACGGCGGCCAAAAGGCAGGTAACGGCGAAAATTGTCTTCATCTTTGAACGATGCGCGATCAGGAAAAATCAATCAATTTCCACAAACAGGATCGATCGGTTTCGTGTGATTCCCTGGCGATATCACTGTGTGCGACACTGTGCCCGACGGGACGATATTTATATGAAAAAAACGGACAGGGACAATAGCTGGTGTTAAAGTATGACAGCCAGCCGTGCCGGCAGGAAACGAGATAATTGGCCCGGTTTCTACGTCGATTTACGTAAGGTTGGTTCAAGTACGGCCGAAATACGCCTAATCACCGTTCGGATGCGTCAAATTTGTCGCGGGCAAATGACTGTTTGCTGTGCGTTCGTCGATCATGGAAGAAGGACTCGTTCAACGTAAATTACCGGGCCGAACAATCCTGTAATAAACACGTCGCCCGTGTACTGTAATCTTCGCAAGGAGATTAGAAATGACAGTGCAATCGAGCATTCGTTGATTTATTTGTTTCTTCTTCCTCCGGTACGCAACGCTTTTCCGAGAATCGAGCATAGCGATTTCTCTGATTGTAGGATGTCGAAGAAAAAAGGGAGAGGAGACGGGGAGAATTGGGTGATTTCGTGGAATGGGACTTTCGTTGATTGGAGACTCGTTTTTGGAATGATTTCTGGGCGATTGAGGGAGACTGTGGGTGAAGTCTTCTGGAATCTGGAGGTGAAACTCAATTATTATAACTTGAAAATTGGAAGATGGAAAGAGAGAGAGAGAGAGAGAGAGAGAGATTTGATGAAGTAGAGAATGATAGAAACATAATTTTTAGACGAACGAGGGAGACCAAGTTAAAATCGAATGTTTAGCGCTGGAAATTGAAAGTAAGATTCGATTGAGGAGGAGATTAATCGAAAAGGGCGTGATTTTTAAAAGAGGAGATATGAACTTAAACTAAATGATTCTAATTCGAAATTGGAAGTTGGTGGAAAAGAGACTGATCGGAAAGGGCACGATTTTTGGGAAGGTAGAAGACACGATGAGTTTGACGTGAAATTAAATAATTGTAACAAATATTGGAGAGAAAAATTTGATCGGTTGCGGGAAAGACATCGAAATTTCTGAGAAATTTTTCAGATTAAAAAATGACTGATCAGTAACGTCACGTTTATTGGTTATCGAACAATGATTTCACGATACACAGATCTCTATTGTCCTAGTCTAATAATATAACTACAAATAATTCAATTGCATAAAAACGCAGAGCAGACATTTTCTACGCAGACATTAACGCAGAACCCTTCTCCAAGTAACAGTCAATAAGACCGTATGCCATTTTGCAATCGTCCGTTAAATCTTTGACTAAAACGAACAGAACAGCGTGTTAATTTGGAGTTACATTTTTTAATAAATAGATGTACGCGATTTACCTTTCTCGTGGCAGTAGTCTGCATGCTCCAACCCGATCTTCATCGTTTCAGGATCTTCCTTGTGCACAATTCTGATGAAATCCTTTATCATCTTCATATTTATCTTCGAGTTCCTCAACTTGAACGAAAAAATCGGGATTATACCATAATCAATTTCTCACCGACTCTTTCAAATTTTTGTCCTTGTTGTTTCAAAATTTTGTTCTTGTTGCTCGATCCAAGGGTAACGAAATATAACGAATTACGTTCTACATATTTCTTATCGATAATGAGTTATTTTTGGACATCGACTCGACTTGAAATGAATTTATATTTAATTAATAATATTCTAATTATTCTAGTATTCGAATTATTCTAAATTTGAGGGGAAAAGATACAGTTTCAAATAAAAAATCGAAATTAAAGGAAACAGTTGAGGGATGAGCATGTACTGTGTATTACAGTTTCAATACTTAAATACTATTACTGTCATAAATAAAATATTTATATTTCTTGAAAGAAGTTGTTATTTTTTGAAATTTTAATGGAGTCAAAATTTTTATAAGGAGACATCGAAATTGTGAAAATGTTTTCGAATTTTTCTTCAATTCACTCACCATTCCCAGTTGCTTTAATATGCATGCTTTTAGACACGTAGCATTCTCCAATCCGACTTCCAAATCCTTGTCAAATATCGCTCTTGCATCGTCTGAAATCGCATTTCTTTAGCTATTCGTCGAAAAGATATAAAAGTAATTACAATATTAACCTTCGGTGAAGCCATTTTCTTTCCCACAGTCCAATGTAGCATCCTTTGAGAATTCCAAATACATGTCGATGAAATCTGCTCGACTAGCTATCTGAATAATTAATGAATATTGATAATAGCAGGCTAATAATTTAGGAAATCTGCCTATTTAAATCATAAATTAGGAAATTCCTGTAATTTAGGAAATTATCCATTTAAAAAATAGATAAAAACTCTGAATTATTCTAAATTGAAAAAGAGAGGAGAAACAAAATTGTAAATCGAAATTAAAGAAAGGAGAAAAAATAAAATTTCAAGCAGAATTATTCTGGGAAAATAGTTAGAAAGAGGAGGAAAGAAATCAAATTCCAAATCGAAAGATAATTGGAATCAAAAGAATACTCTGAAAGAAAGAAATTGAATAAGGTTTCAAACTGAAAAATTCTGAATTTCATACGTAGAAGGAACAATTGCACTAATATTTTACTTACGATAGTTAGCACAAGGCAGAAGGCAACCAGGATAATCTTCATTTTGAAGTTTGATTCTTCGGCGAACGGTGAGCACGTTTCAAAAGTTTACTTCCAGAACTGAACGTTTCTTAGCGAACGACGATGATTTTTATATTGCAAATAGGATTGTAAAAAAAAGTCTATTACATATCATTGAAAAATAATAAAAAAAAGTCTATTAAAATCTGTCGTACTAACTGATCGTTTCGAATCATCCACATCTCGCACGATCATGAAACGTTGTATGTAGTAATTATATACTTCGAAGGACCGTGGTAATAATTACTACCTTGGGTTACTTATTTTTCCGATCAATATTTTTTAGCCACGACTCGATTCATATATACAATGTCGGCCAAAAGTTTGAACTATTATATTCATACAGAGAGTTATAGAAATTTTTATTCAATTATTTCATTTTCGTTTCCTCTCGCGTTTTAATTAAGAATTAATAAAAATTAATAAAAATTTAAATTTAAGTTTCACCATTAAATTTTGCTATACTTATTGTTAGTATACTAATAAATTTTACTATAGTTCACTATATTATTACTGTTGTTCTTGCGTAGAATATTTTCGCATATTGTGAATAGGAAATGGACATGTTTGCCAGAAATATCATGCAACGAAATATTAAATTAACAATGAGCATGAAGTACAAATGCAGTAAGTGTACTTAAACTTTTAGTCGGTAGTGTACTTCGATAAGAATAAAAAAAGTAGCGAGATACTCGAGTAGTAAAATTAAATAATATTATATATTTCTTGTTAGTGGAATTAATTATAGCATATCGTATAATTTCAATATATTCCCTGCTCAATCGAAGATAATGCTATTTTACGATAATCGTGGTTATATATTGAAGATATGAGAAAAAATGAAAAGAAATAAAATAGCTAAAGATATGTAATATTACATTACATATGTAATTGGATACGACCATCTATGAACTAAATAATCATTTTTATATCAAATTATAAACATAACTATTATTGTTAAACATAAATATGTAATATTACATAAATATAAAGTTCAAAAACTCACGAGTATGTGCAAACAATATTGCAATGTCTCGTTTCGTTCTTACCTAATTTTTAATTAATAAATTTCTTGAATATTCCGGATGAATGTACTTAAGAAAACAAAAAGCTAAGATAATAAAAAAGAAAAGAGAATGAAGTACAATTAACTCTGCTCTGCTATTTCAAGGTGAGATATTTATTCAGTTACTTTTGTACTTCATTTTATAACTAACTAGCCAAATTTTGCTATTCTTTATCTAGTAATTCCAGTGTGTTTCTATCGAAGTAATCGAAAGGAAGTCGAAATCTCTTTTAATTAGCCAGTTTCACAAAGCAACTTGAAAACTCGTACGCCATTTGACATTCGTCGGATATTTCCGCAACTGCAATTATCAAGCGAGTTAATAAAAATTCATATAATGAATGTCTCCTGAGTTCTTTCACATTTACTTAAATTTTTGCTTACCATCGTCGACACATTTCTTTGATGTTTCTATGATCTCTGTAATTTCGTCGGCTGTATGTTTAGGGTTCTTCTCCAAATGTTCTCTAAAATTCTCTGGTTCGATATGACCATCTACGAACTAAATAATCATTCTTATATCAGTGAATGTAGTTCAAGGTTGTTAAACGTAAATAGTAAAAGTACAAATATAATAATTGTATGCACTGTCGTGCAATGTTTGACACTTTTAAATTATTGCAAAACGAATCTGTTTAATTTAATTTTAATATACACGGTTATTAGACATTGATAAAAAAAATAAATAAATATAACAATTAGATAGTTCTTTATGTATATCTGTTTGTTGCTGAAGTTTCAGAATGATTGAAAAAATTCATGTAGATTTTATAAAGCATTAGTTACTTATTAAAAATATGAATACGAAACTTGAAAATGCAGAAAATAAACAGTAGAGAAACGTTCGTTGTCCGTATTGTACTAACAATAAATGTTCAATTATTATAACGTAGTACTGTATTGTACTGTATATAGTACATTAGAAAAGGATCTTATTATAAATTATTAATAAAAGAATAATTATTTTTTAAATCTTCCATTGCGGATATTTATGTGATTTTGTATTTCTGCGAATATGACTAAAGTTTATTTTATCAAATATGCATTGTAACAAGAGCTCTGCTTTTCAGTCATGTATATCTCCCTAAGTCAAAAAATGCCTCGAATATAAACAAAATACGGAAAAGGTTCTTATCAATGTTTCTAACAATTTGTAATTTTTTTCGGTTGAGTTTTACATCGGTTTTAAACATCTTCTCGGCATATTATCCTCTTTGAGTTAAACTGATCGCAAGTGTAAGGTTGACAAACAAAAATTTAAAGTTAATGCATATAATGCGCATTCTTAAAATTATATTACGTAGATCATTGAAATCTTAAATTTCCCAAAAATTGCATCAGTCGGTCTAATGAAACGACGCAAAAAATGAAGAAAAATGACTCACGGTATTCAAACGTTTCATAACGCAAACTTGAATGCATCCCCATGTCTGTTTTTCATCGCCTTCCAAGTTTACGTCGAAGAACTTATGTAACTGATCTAAAACACAGATACACTCGCTTTTAATATCAGAGTGTCGGAGAATTATTTTCAAAAAGATTGAATAATTATTGTATCTCGTTACCTTCCGAAATTTCTTGCTCTTCGGCGCACGCTTTGATGTCATCTTTCAAAGTTTTGAACGCTTCGTCATTGTCGCCAGAGCGTACCGCCGCCTGAATATATAAATTTTATAATAAATTTTATTTTACAATCCTTAAAAAAACTTTTCTCTTCGTCTTGTTCTTTTTTAGATCGATCTTTTTTCTGTTTTGGTCTCTCGTTTCGTGCTTCCCGTTCCTAATTTTCTATACGTTGCTCGTATATTGAAATGAATATGAAGCTCAGAGAATTTTAATAAAGAGCACATACATTTATAAAGGCATACATAAAATATATTCGTAACACGTATCGATAAATGTTAACAATGCTATTGTTATTGTTGAAAAGCACACGCACGAATTCTCTAGCCATAGTAATTTCTTAATCGAGACAAATATTAAAATATTAAAATGAAATACACGCGTTGCACTCACCGCAAGAAGAAAGAGGCAGCCGATGGCGAAAATAGCTTTCATGTTGCAAGTTCGCGTGAAAAATATTCCAAAAGAATCACAATACTTGACTGACGCCTGTCGACATATGAACGTCATATTTATAGACAAGAATGGATGGATATACGTCCAACATCTCTGGAGGTGTTAAAACAAAGTTGCGAAATAACAGGAAGAGAAATAATTGCTCGATCTGTGTTGTCGTTTATATAACGCGGCTCGATTGAGATCTACGGGAAAATGATCAATTTCTGGGGTATCCGCGCGAAAAATGATGACCCTTAATTGCTTCGAACGAAGAACTAAATAACAACGACGTTCACCAGATCAAGGAAAAGTGATTGTTGCTCGTACAATTATAATAAAAATGTTCTTCCCGTCACGTGTCTATGTTTCGTGGCTAATTTTTCTGTCGTTTGTTGAAAATCTCAAATTACAAGAATGCAATTCGTGTACTTGCGTTTAAAAATTTGGAGCGCGAAATTAGAATTTCGAAAAAAACAAAATAAAATTTTAACTACATAAATATTGATGTATATTATTACATAACATCGTTATAATATAATATCATATATCAATTTATATGGCTAGTACAGTCATATAATGATATATTATTATATTATTATTATTACTGTGGGTATAATAAATTAATCAATGACCTCCTAAATTAAGAGATAATTACTTGTTGCATATTAAATCACTTGTCATCACTTGCTATCTATTATATTGCATTAAAAACATATATTATAATAAACTTCTTTTTCTTTTAATTTAACTTTTGCTTTTAAAATTAATCTTCGTAAGGATAAAGTAAAAAATCGGTTAAATGATCGATAAAAAGCAATTTGTCTCGTGTTAGTCACTCTGCTGCCATTAGCATACAATGTTTCATCGTGGTAATTCATTGCATGATTTCGCCTTTTAGACAGATTTTTGGATCAATTAGTCGACTAATTATTCTGCTCAATTTCATGCCAATTATCGCCTATAATCATCGAAAATAGGTACGCGTGTGAAGTCCGGAAAAAATTATAGTACTCTTTTTAAATGGAATCATTGTAACCGGTGGATAGTTGTTAATTCTATTTGGTATCCTATCTGTAATGAATCAATTGTTAATTTGAAGTCAATTTTAGAAATATCAAACGTGACTATTTGTGCAATTTCATATTTCTTGACGTACGCATACAGGCCAGAAAGAAATTGTTTCATCTGTTGGATATTTAAATAATACGAAATATTTTAATTTAGTATTTTATATTTCGTTAGTAAATTGTGTTAGTAAATTGGGCATTATCACAAATTTTTGACTTCAAATCTTCAAATTTCCCATAAATCTATAAAAACTCGCGGTCTAATAGTGTGTTTCAAAATGGCAAAATTCTGAGTGACCAATAGTATTCTCTACATTCCTTAGCTTGATTAATATTAACATTTAAATACCAATATTGTTATTTTAATTTTTGCCCTAACGTTGACAAATGTTAATTTCTAGAAATAATATTTAATACTGTCCAACACACCAATTTCTCATCTTCTTTTCTAACAAATGCACTAAAATCAATGTGTAAAAGTAATGATCAGTTTTCTACATCCAATTATTTATTTATTACAAAATTATTATTACACTTTTCAAGAGTAATAAAATTCACTTGAATCGGATCAAGAGCCTTAATTTGACGCATCGGTAGATCCTTAATCCAGCCAGTTCGACAGACCATTAGAACCGGACTGGAGGTTTTTCCTTTAGTTTAGCCCGAATGACGAACGGCCTCGAATTAATCCGATCGTTATTGAAGCCGTGATAATCCGTGGAAACCGGTCTGATCTTACGTACGATCAAAATATTTAATCGATTCGAACGACGAATTACAAATTTGTCTGCACGAACGAGACTGTGCAAGATAAATCTCGTCGATATCATAAAGCTGTGAAATCGATGCGATGTTTCATCCCTTCCCATCGAACTGAACCCTCGTGCGGAAATGTAGCTCGATAATTTTCCTTCGTGTCATTCAGTTACTTATCATTTCTCAGTGATGACTATCGTCGACTATTGCGCGTTGTTTTTCTTTTGTGTAACAATGTTTGAAAAATTAAGGCGGTTCGTTAATTATCAATGATTATCTTAATTATCGTGATTATTGGCGGGCAGTCGTTGTTGAAGTGGTTACATAAAGTCCACTGGAGAGGACGCGTGGAGAATTGTAAAAATAGGAATCAATAGGGTGTTTATTGAATAATTTAAAGAACATTGGACAACAGTGGATTTATTTTGCAGAATATTCGTCATTTTATTGGTTTCATTTTTATCATCTAATTATTATTAATCTTATTGAACAATAATTCGACAAATGTTGTTTCAAAGAATATTCATCATTTTATTAATGAATTTATTTCATCTAATTTTTATTATTTAATCTAAAAATATTTATATCTGTCAAATTTATTCTTTCGAGGAATTGATTTTTCAACGAATACTCGTCAGTTTGATAATAAATTCATTATTCATCGTTCTGACAATAAATTTATTATTCGTTTAATTTCCATAATTTTATCTTCATTTTGTGGAGAATATTCGTTCGAGGAATAGCTCTTCCAAGAACATCCTCACTATTTTTTTTCCAAGAATTTATTATCATTTGGCGTTAAATTTATCGTCCGTTAAATTTATCGCTATTATATAATTTTACATTTATTGTATAAATAATTTTTTTTATTATGTATTATAATAAATTATAATATACTATAATGTGTTATAATTTATCACACTTATTATATAATTTACATTATTATAATTTTTATTACTTTATTACACTTATTATATAATTTTTATTACACTTATTATATAATTTACATTATTATAATTTTTATTACTTTATCGAACGAAATTTACGAGTCGAAAAATATTATTCAGTTGAAGTTCCAGGAAAATTCGAAAAGTCCATATTTATCTAACATGCTACGAAGTCCAACGTCATTATGGAAATTCAGAGAATATGAAACGATAATAAATTTAAGTTGTTATTGATGATCTTTAATTATCATTGTCGTAATCCCGGTTCATAAATTTTGAACTTTGGTATATTACAGAAAAATTGGCATCTACAGGAAAATATTTTCGATATTTTTCACTAAAATTATCCTCGGAATTAAACGTGAAAAATATATAAAAAAAAAATTACTAAAATATAAAAATGATGCAACGAAACAAACTCTTAATAATTTTTTTATAAACAAAGCTCAGGTCCTTACGTTAGAAATAAAATGTGTAATACACGGTGTGATATCAAAGACGAAAAGTGCGTTTATAAAATTGTGCCTTTATAATACAAGAATTATATAATATATTACAAGTAACAACACTTTTTCAACTTGGCGAATCGTTTAGGAACATAGGTAACTTCCCTTTCAATTGCTAGCCTTTCAATTTGAAAGAAAGCTGACGTGTCATCAGTACCTTTTAACAATCAGATCCATTATTAGGTCGTTTGTACCCAAGTTGAAGTGTTCTGGTTCTCATTGATCGATGATCGTGAATAAATGAGACATCGATTCAAACTCTTCTGCATTGTGGTTTGTTCCGATTATTTCTACACACTGCCATAGCTTTTGTCCGACTACTACGACGACGATAGCGAAGATGATGACGCCTAAGTGATATGGATTGGAAATTTCTTTCGCTTCTTCGATGAGCTAGTGAGTCCGTTGTTAGCGAGTTGTTCACGGAGCCAGGTACAACTGTAACAGATTTTTCACAAGTGTTGAAATTTACTCGGTTGTAATTTGCAAAGTTTCTTTTATTCGTTTTTATTAGTTAACGCGATGAACGACGAATAATTCGTGAAATTTGTAACTGCAAATTTCAAATTACTTAGTGCTAGTTGGAAAAATTTTCAATGATTTGTTGAATTAATAACAATAAAGAAGGAAATAATAATAGTTGTTTGAATAACATAGCTGCAATAGAGTTTACGAATATTTGAAATTTTTAACGATCGTACGTGATTACTAATTTGTGAAATTGGTTTTGAAAGTACTACTGCAAGCAGAGGAACGTTTGTTATTCGCATCTTTTTTTTTAGTAGAAAATTATTCCACATCTTTTCGGTATTTTTCGTTATGACATGACGAAAAACAGAGGCATCGTATTTCACGCGATTTTCACAGAAATAGGGATCTTTCGAAGAGATTGTATTTTCACCTGAAGACGTTTCTCTTTCGTATTCCGAGAAGTGCATGATGTTTTATATAAAGTTTCGATCGAAAGATTCTGAAGAAATATTATTTTCCATACGATAGTGATATATTTTGGATTCTTCTATTATTTTATGAAACAACGAAATTTAAAAATAAAAAAACAAAAAAGAGACAACGAGAGATCTCTGTTTTTGCTAAAAATTCGCACAGAGGGTTCCTGCAAAATTTGTGAGAAAAGTACAATTTCAGTTGCATGAAAAAGTTTCGTTTTCAATAGATGGATTTAAGTTACTGCACCCAAGGTATTATTTTCGGTGTAATCGTAATGAAAAATCACCTCCGCGTCATTTTCGTAGATGCATTTGCCAAATTGCCACGCGGCCTCGCAGCCGTCCGTTGCTGTAACTGCAAAAATAATTACAAATTAGCGGGACAGATATTCGGACACCGTGTGGTGTCCAAGAGATTATTGCTCCGGTATACTGTACATTTGTTTATAACAGTCTCGTTGAATTGATCAGTTTTCATTGTGTCGGAAATGCTGGTTAGTAGAAACAGAAATTTTATTTGTGTTAATGCGTATATTTTTGCTTTGAATATTGACCATACAAATAAGCTAAATAATATAAACTTGTAATTCAATGTCGTAAGAATAGAATATTCTTTATACATTTTTTTTGTAATTTAAATATAATCTATTGTAATGTTCCAAATGTATGTCTCTCATCAACGAACCTAACATATATTCGTTGTCCGAATATTTGTGCAATTTTTAAATAAATAGATATTATTTCTGTATTAATTGAGATAAATATTAAAAAAATTACCAATTCAATGATACTATTAGGAACAAATATACTATTGAGCAGCAGAATTTCTCGAGTACATGAACAATAATTAAATACAACTAGATATTCGTGCATTTAATATTCCAAAAATTTATAAAATCCATATGATACGAAAAGATACATGAAATATCTTACTATGATACGAAATAAATTACTTGTAGTTATATAATAAATTATAAAAACGAGTAAATGTAATAAATTATACGTGGAATAAAATTGCATAAACGATACTCTATTAATAATAATACAATATTAATAAGGGTCAGTATTTCTTTTCGTATTTATTATATTATAACAATAATGATACTTGCCTTCGGTTCGGCACTTTTCAACCACTTTTTCAATACGTTCGACATATTCCTCGACTATCATTGTACGGGCGTTCTTCACGAAGAATTCAAACATGATTTCGTCATTCTTCATCTAACGAAGAAAATAATAGTTTATTTGTTTCTTTTCGTTAATCTCTCGAAAAGTAATATAATATTTTCGATATTAATAATATATTAAGAAATTTTATTTACCGCTTTAGTTTGTATCAAGATGCATTTCATGTAGCACATCAACCTCTCGTCCTTTGGGAATTCGCCTTTATGCTGGCCATCTAGGAGCTCTATACGAAAATTACCGAATAATTTGTTGTTAATTCGTAAAATAGTTACTATCGTCAAGAGAAATCACGAGAAACAAAATTTTCTTTCTTTTCTTCATTTTTGAAATCAATCTTGTGTGAAACGAATGGCTTTGCTAACTAAAACAAACGTTTTTATTTCTATAAAGTATTTTACTAGTATTGCATTTGAAATGAAATAAGATTCCTCGGTATTAAAATTGGAAACGAGATTTTCATTATAAAGTTTCAATTAAATTTAATTAAATTTCGTAAAGAATTTTCATTAAACTTCGCAACCGCGTTTTTAATGTTTTTAAAACGAAGCACATTGTTTGAAAAATTATAGATCTCGTACTGTGATTTCAAATAACACGAGTCATTGCAGATGTAATAACTTGTTATAGATCGGTGCAATAATTAATTGTGAACAATTAATTATAAAGAAGAGCGTGATTTAGAATTACGGTAATTCTTATGTCCGAAATGTTACGTAATGTTTTCCTCTATGAAGAATAAATGAAGTAAGTTTCACGAAAATGATGTGAAAAGTAATGGAGCAAATTTTGAAAATAATAATAAATAAAATAATCCTCAGATCAGTTAATCAATATAATTAAAAACAAAATTCGCATTAAAAATGAATCTCCATTCCTGTTCGAAGAACAAAAAAAAAAAAAAAAAAAAAAAAAAAAAATAAAAAAAAATAAAAAAAAAAAAAAAAACAAAAAAAAAAAAAAAAGTTAAAAATTTTT